AAGTCTCACTAAGGTCGTCACTAGACCCTAATGCCAAATTCGTCTCACCTCTCAACTTACCATTCTGCTTATCTTTGTTCTTCTTAGGATAGTCCCTAATAAAGTGTCCAGTCTTACCACAACCGTAACAACATCTACCACTAGACTGTCTCATCTTTTGCTCATCTTCTTATCACCCTCATCACTCGAGTGACTACTCGAATCACTACTGTCTTGAGCTCTAACCGAACTCATCTGCTTAAACTTCATTCTACTCCTCATCATATGCAGCTCACCACTTCTCTTATATTCTTTTTCAGCCTTAATCTCCATCTCCTTACTCTTAAGAGAATCTATGACAATCTCGGGTGTTATGGTGTCCCTACCATACTTAATTGCATTCTTAACCTCTCTATATGAATCAGGCAAAGAATTCAGCAAAATGATGGCCTTATAAGTTTCAAACACTTTCTCATCACAGGCAACGATGTCTTGAACCATCGTGTTAAAAACATCCAAATTGTCATCAAGATCATTTGAATGATCCATTTTAAAACTAAAAAATCATTCGAATAAGTACAACTTATTCGGAGTAGAATTAAGTAAATATAAATCTACCAACTTTTGTCAAAATTTTTTAGTAGAATTAAGTTTTCCAAATTTTCTCAAAACAGCGTCGAATAGGTGTAAAATAATTGAAGTGTAAGCAAATTCATAATATTCTTCTTTTTGAGCTTATGTTAAATCTACAAGAAATTTGTCATCTATGACCTTTGAAATTTTTTGTTGAACCAAAATCTCCTTCATCTTTTGTTGCCAAATCGAAAAGTCTTATTTCCCATTGAAAATTTCAATTTCGAAATGTGAAGACATTTTGAAAAAACAAAACAACAAAGATGCAAAAATAGGCCACACAAAGTAATCATAAGGCAACAATATACACCGTTCTACATTTTCAGGGTTTTGTAAGATTTACGATCTCAGATCAAGGGAATGTTCGAGGGGGTCAAGTCTAAGTGTTCTAACGAAATAGCCAATGCAACACGAAGGCATATCAACAAAAAATTCAAAATTCTTACAGTTAAAACCAACACTTCAAATATGACAAATAATTCATATATTTCTAGTACAAACAATGGTTACCCGTTCACGGTAACTCCAATCCTAATGCCACCTCACACGATGATGTTCTAATGTTGAAATTTAAATGGGATAAGCCAATTTACAGAGCGGACTTATCTGAGTCCGTAAATTATGAGAAAAGTGAAATCACTTTAGGGCCACTACTATTTGCCCTAAAGTCTCCAGCATCTACGGCACCCAATCGAGCGAAAATTGAATTACGAACGCAGAGGCAAAATTGTCCAAATTTCATTGTATACCCTAAAACACAAAAGCGCTGCCACGCGTCGTCACAGTCCTCTACGCGTAGGCTTCACGCGCCGACCACCCAACACCTCCTCTACCTGTTGATCCTCCATGTGGTATTGGATTCATCAAATGGCCAATGGTTTGGCTGGAAATCGTGGTTGTAGGTCTGGTTTGTTTGAAAAAATTGGGCAGTTTTGATTCTACCTGCATTGTCTCGTTTCAGGTCTACTTCTGGTCAGATTTTTGGAGTCTAATCCACCTCCAACCTGCTCTGATACCAAATGTTAGATATATTTGCTCCAATCTTGAATTTTTCGGGGCTCAATTGACACCAAATCAACAACCATCACAACCAAAACCTTCCAACTTGTCTTCCCAAAATCGGTTGCTCCAAGGTGCCCACAAAGGGCTGAGTGTGAATGTTATTGGTATCCCCCAAAACAGCGATAAAGGCTAAGATAAGAATAGAAGAAGACGACACAAAGCCAAGGAAAGTATAAAGCCAAAGTAACACTCTTTTCTCTCTAAAACACACAGTTATCCACACATTCACACTAAACTAACACAAATAGTAACGGGCAGCTTATATAAGCCAAAGGGATGGGCTTTACGTTAAGGTAAGTAAGGCCCAATAGGTAACAATAAATAGGTTGTCAACCCTAAAGCCGTCCAAAGTAATGGGTCGGGCAACGAGTAACACTAATGAATTATGCTACTTCAAACGGCCTAAATAGGTTGTAGGAATGATTGTTCGATTGTGGTGTCGACATTTCGCTTCACTCATCGGCCAAAGCCTATGAAGTATAATCCAATAAACTGATTTAACATCATCGCCTGGATTTATTGGATATGAAAACCCAACAATTTAGTCGATTCCAACTAAAACGAATTACAAGAGCTTGATACATAGTTGGCCTTCGTGTTCTAAGATTGATTCCTGAACCAACTGCTGGAGCATTGTTATATGCGTAGCTTGAAAACACAAGCAGTTAAAGTGAAAAGATTGCACTTATTTTTAATATGGGTATTGTTGCTATCACGACCACAACAGCAAGAGTTTCTTGGAGTATCTTAGGAGGGGAAAGACATACTTCAAAACACAATGTGTTACTTCTTTTCCGCAATGGATATATTCTCCAAACAGGGGATTGATAAAATTTGAAAAATGGGGTTGCTTTGAGTTGCAACCCAGGATGCCATCCACAATCTCTCAGCCTATCGTACTACTGACATTGATGTTGACATGAGGAATGGAAGAAAAGTATATAAGGTCCTTGAGAGGAAAATATTGTGGAAGTCAACCGAAATGTGTCTTAGAAATGTGCCTCTCATCAACCAATGCTTATATGATGCGAAGGTAGAAGTTCACAAAATAAATAACGTAATTCTTGTTGGTGGTTCAGAAAATGGTTATGAATATATTGGAAAAAAAAACGACTATACTTGGGAATAAACCGACTAGAAGGTATGATAAAATCAAGGAGGGATCTGAGATTCAAAGCTGAAATTAAAGGAACTAAACTAACAGACAGAGAAAATGGATAGGCATTCTAGATGCAGGGAAGATGAAGAACTTTCATTCATTCAAGTTTAAGAAAATTACAAGACAATCTATTCTATTTATAGAGAAAATAGTTAACCAATTATCTAACAAACTAACAAGATAACAAACTAAGGAAGTATCTAGAATAAGCTAGAATCAGCTGAATTCAGGCGGGAATTATAGTTGAAGGCAGCAGCATTTTATCTCTAGATTCTACTGTATTGTTGCTGTGCTTTGCTGAAGAGCGTGGGTTGCTGGTCTTGCTATTGAAGCTGTTGGTTGCTGGTGATCAGATGAGCTGATGAACTGGAGGCTGAGTTAATATTTCAACACTCCCCCCTCAAGATAGAACATCTTGAACCATAGAGAAGGAAAGTAGAGATGCAATCAAGGAGCATCTTGTTTCGAATCAATTTTAGACACTTCGTCTGCCTTGGATCGTTCTTTATCTTCCTTCTCTTTTGAGAAGGAATAACTTCAAAACCTTTCTTCAAAATCTTCATATCTTCATTCAAAAGATAAAATCAATCTGAGAAGCCGGTCATTCCAGTAGGTTCTTTCTTCAATTTCGTTTCAGTTTCATTTTGATTCCCTATTTGGGAATAAATCAACCATTCCGTGAAGGTCTTGAGAAGCCTGCCATTCCAGCAGGTTCTATCTTCATTTTCATTTCAGTTTGATGAAGAGGAACAACATCTCTTCAGTTTTCATCCGTTCCGACATTTCGTCGAGCATCTAGTGAGCCAAGTCACTATCCTGTTTTCTGGTAAACTGTGTTGCTGATTTTGGGGATTTTTTTTTTTGATAGATTCAATTGAGAAAAGATAGAGAAGAAGAATCAGAAACCCGCTCTGATACCATGATAAAATCAAGGAGGGATCTGAGATTCGAAGCTGAAATTAAAGGAACTAAACTAACAAACAGAGAAAATGGATAGGCATGCTGGATGCAGGGAAGATGAAGAACTTTCATTCATTCAAGTTTAAGAAAATTACAAGGCAATCTATTCTATTTATAGAGAAAATAGTTAACCAATTATCTAACAAACTAAGGAAGTATCTAGAATAAGCTAGAATCAACTGAATTCAGGCGGGAATTATAGTTGAAGGCAGCAGTATTTTATCTTCAGATTCTGCCTTGTTGCTGCTGTGCTTTGCTGAAGAACGTGGGTTGCTGGTCTTGTTGTTGAAGCTGCTGGTTGCTGGTGATCAGATGAGCTGATGAACTGGAGGCTGGGTTAATATTCCAAGAAGGTAGAGTGCCCCCGTGCACTAGAAAGTGCAGTGGCTTCTGGCATAGAAAATCTGGACCTATTAAGGAATCAAACAACTCCAATGAGCATCGGAATTCGAGCATATAAAAACAGGTTTGTACCTATTATATCAAAAAATAGCACATTACCAGCAAGAAAAACTTGTCCTTCCCAACAATGAATGGTCACCAAACAAAGGCACTAATTATCGTCTACGAGGGCAATGAGAAAGTAGTTGAAAAGAACCTTCTGCTGGGTATTTTTAAGTTCATCGGGATACCTCGATTTTGTTTTTTAAAAAAATTTTGTTTTGCTGGTAATGTGCTATTTTTGGGTAAAATAAGTCCAAACCTATTTTCATGCGCTCGAATTTCGATGCTCGTTAGAGTCGTTTGAATCCTTAACAAGTCTAGATTTTCTATGTTAGAAGTCACTGCACCTTCTAGTGCTGCCCCATGCACAGCAGCCTCTAGCCGATTTATTCCCAAGTAAAGTTGTTTTTTACATATATCCACAACCATTTTTTGCATCGTTGGGATATGTGAGCAACCACCAACAATAATTACGTCATTTAGTTTGTCAACTTCTATCTTTGCATCCCGTAAGCACTGGTTGATGAGAGGCTCACATTCCGGTTGACTTCCACAAATTTCTTCCTCTCAAATATCACTTTTGGGGTTCTGTAATATTTAGGCTCCTATTATATGATCTTGTGAATTGTACCCGTAATCTAATATTAGTTTGAAGTCTACTTCAGAAATGAAATTACACAAGACATTAAAACCGAACATGAAAGTCTTGACATTTATTTTTCTTGAATAATTAGTTCCAAAATGACCATTTTTTTATGGTTACTCATTTGGTACAATTAGGCCATTTCACTTGTTTTGGTACTTTCACTTTGAGCACAGGATTTCGCTCAAAGAAATTAGTTGGCCGAAGCTCAAAACCACTGCTCAATGTTGGCATAACCGGAAAATCTTCTTGGTGAGGCACGTGATGAAACCCTAATGTGTACCATAGCACAATATCCTTGTTCTCAATTCCCCTGTTCCTGCAAGATCAAATAACAAAGAAAATGAATTTCACTTTCATTAATTTGAGAAATCAATCTACTACTTTTAAGCTTTTAAAATGAGAGGGCGTGACAATATTAAGCATACAAAGATAGGTATCATGGCCATCAATATATGTGAAACTTTATGTTTCAAACCTCAAAAAGAGAAAAGAATGAGTTGCTGGTGAGAGTAGAGACCAATCTTAGCCTACTACAAGCATGGGCTGACCCAAGTTTTGTAGCAAGTTGATCCAAGCTCAGCCCACCATACCGTGTTGAGGTGGGCTTCTAGGATGGGCCTATGTATTGGAGCCTTTTCGGAACCGGCTCGATTCTAATGGATTTGAGGAGTATTTCTCGATTCTAACAATTTAAACATTTAGACGAGATAGTTTACCTAAGACTCCATTTAACTAAAGCATTTTTAGACGAGGTGGTTTACCTGAGAGTCCATTTAGCTAAAGTATCATCCCCATGGCCTTGATCAACAAGGAGTCCTCCTGCCCATTTCTCAGACTTATTATATGGGGTAACCCACAAATTATACTTGGTAAACCCCCCACGAATTTGCTCAAAATCATCATCAGACAGAAGAGGACTTGACACTGATTCCGGGATCAAACGGTAGCCAATATAGTTCCCAACTTTAGTCTTCTTATTGGGGTTCACAACAACAAACTCGGATGCACCCAATCCAAGTTTAATCTTTGCTTCAGACTCAGTTTTAGCCATGTCATTAACAGGCCTCCAATAACTCTTTCTTGGCACATCTTTCTTGTTCACACGCACCGGTTTCAGATTAGTTTTGATGAAGGAATTGGCATCACCGTCCACGTCAAGATCAAGGTGGAAACTGAGGAAATGATCATGGTGCACACCGAGAGTGTTTTCCGCTAGCAATTGAGCGTATAATTCCTCATTGATCTGGTCTTTGTGTGTGTATACTGATCCTTTAATTGCAAGCAATCCTGACAGTCCAATCTGTGGAGTAGAAAGCAGTGGATGATTTGCAAAAGTTTAAACAAATAATTACTTATTTTTTGATAATTTTTTACTCACGGTGACTTTAATGGTTCCAGTTTGCTTGAATTCCCAGTCAATTATGTAGTCATAGTTGGCCACAGTGGATACCATCCTTACAACAAGACTTGTTTCTTGTCTGACCTCTGTTATCTGCAGGACAGAATGTCTTAAACATGAATCACATCATCTCAAAACTTAAAGTTGTTAGAATTTGTTTTCAGCACACTCATTCATGTGCAGGTCAAATTTATTTTTAACATGTGTACAGTAGCAAATTAGCAAATCCAAGGCATTTGAACCATCTTGTTTAAAAGTTCAAGTAGTTAGAGAAAGGACAAATTTATTCGTTTAAATTTTTTTGCAGTGTTATAAATATTTTTATCTTACCGTGTCCCCAGGAAGTGCCGGTTCAGTGTGGCGCCACAATATATCTCCGGCATAGCGCTCGAATAGGCAGAACACATTGGATATTTTTTCTGGTTTTCCATCCTGCATGGTGAAGTAACCATCCATAAACACAGCATTTTCTGGGCAATCTCTCAATGGTTTGAGGGGATTTGCACAAAGACCAATTCCGAATTCGCCAGCATCAAGAAATGTCGTATAGTACCATTCTTCGGTTAGGTCCATGTATGGCACAAAGAGTTCTGATAAATATGCTCTGTACATCACGCTACGATGTTCATCCTTCTCGGGATCATAGATTGATGCTAACGATATTACTGGACCAGCTCGCATGTCAAATGCTAGATGGAACTCCCAATTAGCCCACCTAATCAAATTCATGAAAAACAAAGTTCACAATACGATACACGACAATGGACAACATTCGATCTTACAAAATAAGCATCAAGAGTTAACAAACACTCAGGTACTAAAGCATGCCCTTCTGTGGCCTTGAGGGCTCAAAGGAGTCCCTTTCGAGGAACCTGAAGAATGGCTTTAATTTCGTGACAATCTAATCAAATTGCACCTAATATTTTTCAAATATTATCTACTAAAGTTTTAGTTTTTAACATACATATTAAACTCACCTCACAGTATGTCCATCTATGGTGAAGCTTGGTCCATCTGGTTGGAATACTGTCATGCCCTTTAAACCTGTATCGTATGGGGGATTTTGCATTGATTCTCTATAATCCGTGCCATCAGCTTTCGGTACAGGAACCATCAAACGGTCATGATACCCCGTGATCTTCATCTCATCAAGATCAACGGTAGCTGTAATTCCCTCTATAGGTCTCATGTAGAAATTAACTGCTCCATCTATATAATAGCACATAACTTTAAGAACTCTTTTAGTCCTTTTCTCTCCATACCAACCAATAGTAAAACTCGAACATATCACTTCACTTACATTCAGTCCTCTTTTCTTGACCGAGGCTATAAATGGTGCATATGTCAGTGGTAGTTCATTAGCAGCTGTTTGCTCCTCGAGTGTGAGCAGAGGGTAGCCACTTCCATTGTACACTTTATCTGATACAATCAAATTATCAGTCAAGTCTACAATGATTTCATGGGTTTTTGCATCAGTTCGCATTATAACAAAAGCTAGACGATGTGAGATTTTTTTATTATGTTTATGGTTCAATTGCCAAGAATGGATATCTGGTTTTTTGGGCTCATCTAAGCCTACATAGTGAAAACTCACATTTTGGTGTGATTTCTTGATTATGGTTTGGACTTGACTGAGCTCATTTGGAGAAAGAGGATCTAAGGGGTGGAATTCATGTGATGAAACAAAGGAAAAAATGAGAAAGAAAATAAGAATTCTAAAGCTTGAATACATTGCTTTCTGCTTTGTGATAAGCCTTGATTTCTTAATCATTATATAGAAGAAGTTGAACCACATAAATGATAAATGTGTTTTACGTGCTTGTGTGCTTATAAAATTGAGCGAATTTCTATCTAATTTAGTGTAAATTTTGTCACCACAACCCAAATTTAGAGGCACATAGAGCAAAAAGGAAGCAATTGAAGAGTAATGAGATTGCACTAATTGATAAGAAGAATTAAGAGAGGAAAGGCACAAGTTATGGGAGTGAAATTCAACTTATGGAAAGTTAGGGGACTACAGATTGAGGAGAACCAATTATTAATGATTATGTAGGTTTGAAGACCAACATTGAAGCTTTTAGAAGTTGCAAGATTACTATTGAATAATTGGATCAAAATTGTACAAAAAACTTGAAGTAAGGACCAAAATATAAAACTTGTAGGCAGTCCATCCACAAGTACATGGAGGAACTGTTTGTAGTGGTCCGACCACAGTCGAAAAAATAAGATTTTGCTACAGGCCGTGATAAGTGTAGTCTCTACACTTATTCAAAATCCTAAATGATGATATTTTATTGTCCTTTGAATTAAATTCTACATAATTTGTATTCTACTGCATTTTGTGGGTAAAATTTTGTGTTTGATGAAGAATTGAAGAAAATAATATAAAATAGCGAAAAAAAATAGCAAAATCCAAAGTAAGGGGACTAAATTGGCTATTGAATGCGAAGTTTGGAAATCAAATTTCATACTTTGGAAAGTTAAGAACTTAAAGGATAATATAGCATTAATGACTTTGAATTGGAGGCCCAAAATTAAACATATATATTACATGGGAAAAATTCATAAATAAGGTGTTTAGTTTACACCAATTCAAATATCATGTTTATAGTTTGAAAATTCAAAAATCAGGTTTTTTTTTTAAATTCTAATATAATATAATATAATATAATAAACACACCCCACATGCATCACCCCTATTGTTCCGGTGACTATTCCGGCGGACATTCCGACCACCACTCTTCTCCGGCGACCATTCCAACTATTGTTCTGATTCCGGCAACTATTGCGACGACCATTCCGACGACTATTCCGACCATTATTCCGGTCACAGATTTATAATTTAATTAGTCATATATTATTTTCCAATCACAAACAATAATTTTTATACGTCACAGATTATTTTATGGTCACAGTGTAAAAATTTTATAGGTCACATTTAACTCGTTGGTCACAGATTTCAAAATTAGTTGGTCACATATCAAATTTTATAGGTCACAAATTTTTTATGGTTACAGATTATATAATTTTTAGGTCACAAATAAAAAAAAGTTAATTTCATTGGTCACATATTTTCAAATTTTTTGGTCACGGATTATTTTTCAATCACATATTGTCAAATTTTTAGGTCACAGTTAAATACTTAGTCACGGATAACCAAATACTTGGTCACATACCACTGACACTACTTCAACCACCACTACCACCACACAAAACATCGTTACCACCCACAACCACCAAATAAAGCACGGCCACCATCTTAATCGTCGATCCACCACCAAAGATGCCACCACACAAAACACCTCAGACACAAATCAGATCCACCACCACCTCCGTACTATAGTCACAGCCTCCAGGACAATCACCACGACCAACATCACCACCACTAAACACCACGACAACCAGTAGTGACACCGTCATTTCCAAAACCACCACTACCAAAAACAACCAGATCCGCCACCACAGTTAANCAAAAACAACCAGATCCGCCACCACAGTTAAATAGCCGTTGCACAAAACACCACCATCACCAGGATCCACCACCACCGCAACAACTACATCGTTCATCCCACTCCACCACCGGGGTCGCAGTCGCCACCAAGAACCACAATTGTCGATTTATTTCTTCGAATCTGATCTGCAACAACCACAACCAGATCACATCACATGTGCCATCTCACATGCAAAGCACCCGCCACAAGAACTACCATCACCACTGTTGACCACCGCACAATAGATGAATCAAATACGAAAAATACCCAAAAAATACTGTTGCGCCGCTTCGAGCAGTGAGCACCACTGTGTCTCCTGGTGTTGATTCCGCTTGTAGCAGTCAAATAAGGGCGTTCCGAGGAGACGCTACTGCAGCCACCGCTTGTCGTCGTCGATTGGGGGTGGGTTTCAGTCCGATGAGAGCGGGTACGGACAACCACCGCACAGATCAGCGGTTGCAAGAGATGCTGGGACGCGTCGCTTGAGAGCCGTCGCCCTCCGTTGTGGACTTCGTCGACGACGGCCACGTGCGAGGAGGAGATGAGAGGGAGAGGCGACGAGAAGAGAGAGAAAGAGGGATATGAGAGGGATGGAATGGAGTAATAAATTAGGGTTAGGTTTTAATACGATACCTGATTTTTGAATAAATAAAATTTTGACCTGATTTTTAAAATGCAATCTTTAAACACCTGCTTTTTTTGTAATTTCCTCATATTATATTATATATATACGCAGCAAGGAGGAAAGGAGAGAAAAAAAAAAAGGCTACTAAGAAAGAAATAAAAAACTGCTGAAGCGGGAGAAAAGGATATGTATTGAATTGATTTAGCGAGATAAGATTGTCTTGAACTATAAATTGATTTAATTAGTGAAGTCGACCGAATACAACTTTAAAAATTAAACTAGAGAGATGAGATTAAAGGGAGTAACAAAGGTGAAATAGTGAGTTGCAACGTTTTAACCATTATATTCAATCCTTTAATTGCTTTTAATGTTCTTTGTTAATGTTAATGTAATAAAAATCTTGACATCAATGTTTGCTTTATTCAAACAGAAGTTAGATCATCTTTGTGGAAATTATAATTTGAACTTTTTAAGTCAAATTCATTAATTTAATTTACAAGGGTACTTTTATAATTATGATGCAACAATCAGTGTAATAGGATTAGTTTTCTAAAAAGCTCGCTTAAGCGGAGCCTAATACCGGCTGGGCTCGACTCGGGAAAACGTCTCGTTTCGCGCCTAAATGCCTTTTTTTTTCAATTCCTAAATGGTTGAATTTTTTACTCCCTCTTTTTCATCTTTCCTAGGCACTTTCTTAGTTTGTTTATTTTTTTCCTTTTTAAAAAAAATTCTTTTATTTGATTTTAGCTTATCAAAAAAAAATTTATTTTTTAAAAAAATCATTTGACTTTAACTTCAATTTTTAAAAGTTTTTATCTGTACAAAAATTAAAAATGACTTTATCTAAATAATTATATAAAATTTAAGGTATGGTACTATCAATATTATTTAATTATGATTTTGAGACTCATTATTTTGTTGCAAACTCCAAAAACATATATGAAATTCCAATAAATCTTTTAAGTAGGACTTGTCTAGTTAAAAATTGAAACTACGAAAAGTATTCTAATTTTTACATTTTGAAAACTTGAAAATTGTATAATTGATTGATATTAGAAATTATTAAGTAAATATAATATTTATAATTTTAGATATTTAACATGTATTATTATAATTATTAAATAATTTTTAAAAGGGTAAGTAGAACATAATATCCGTACATTTCACTATTATTATCGAAAATGTTCATATCTTTCATTTTTGTAACATTTTCACACTTATTTCCTTCTTTCATTACACAAAAGATCATTTTCATCGATTTTCTCAATGAAAAGATGCGAATTGATGAATATACCCTTTTATTAAATAAAATAAAAAGAAAAAGAAAGAATTAATTGCAATAATAGTCCCAATTTTTTAAAAAAAAATTGCAAACGACTCCCAAATAAATTAGTAAAGGGTAATTAGCACATAATGTCCTTACCTTTCACTATTATTGTAAAAATGTCCATATTTTTTTATTTTTTGACATTTTCATCATTAATTATACTTTTGATTGTACAAATCACCCTTTCTATTTATTTTCATCTAATTTCTAAAAAAAGAAAAAAAAATGTTTTGAAATGACAAATATACAATTAATTTTTTTAAAATTTCTAATTTTCTAGTAATTTATTTGGGACACGTTTGTATTTTTTTTTTTTTTTATTTCTAATGTTTAATGATTATTTAGGATTCGTTTGCACTTTTTTAAATAAAAAAAATCAATTTCTAATTTTTTTAATAATATATTTGGGATTTGTTTGCACTTTTTAATTTTTAATTTTTTAATAATTTATTTGAGATTCGCTTGCAATTTTTATAAAAATTTGGGACTATGGTTGTAATTAGTTCATTATTATATATATATATCGACCATTTTCACGATAATAGTGAAATATATGGGTGTCAACGAGCCAAGTCAAGCCAAACCGCGCGTCGAAACTATTTGCTCGGGCTCAGCTCGAGTAAAAATGATTCAATCTTTTTTTTACCCGAGCCCAACAAAAGTTCGGCCAAAAGAATTAGGCTCAACCCGAGCTTTCGGCTCAGGCCTTAGCGAGCCGAGCTGACCTGATTTTATTTTTTTTAAATTTGTGACAAGTCTAATTTGAAAAAAAATTAAAAATTTGTACAATTTATACGTATTATAAATAATAACTAAATATTAACATATAAAAAAATTACAGTTGAGCCTCGGCTCGGTCCCACCGAGCCACGAGCCGGCAAGACTCGGGCTTTTTTCACATTGACATGACTAGTGAAAGGTATGGACATTATGTGCTAATTACACTTTTACTAATTTATTTGGGACTCGTTTGCACTTTTTTTAAAAAAAATTAGGACTATAGTTGCAATTAAATCTTTCTTTTTCTTTTTGTTTTGTTTAAATAGAAAGGTGTATTCGTTAATTCATGGCTTTTAATTGAGAAAATGAATTAAAATGACATTTTGCGCAATGAAATGTGAAATTTCCAAAAAACGAAAAGTAAAGATGTTTCCACGATAATAATGAAAAGTAATGACGTTATGTGCTAATTACTTTTAAAAAATTAGAAATTAAAAGTCTCAAATAAATTATTAAAAATTAGAAATTAAAAAGTAAAAACGCGTTCTAAATAAATTATTAAAAAAATTAGAAATTAAAAAAATAGTTTTTGTAAATGTTTAAATATGAGAGTATATTCGTCATTTCACAACTTTTTATTAAGAAATTGGATGAAAATGAATAAAAATAATGGTTTGCGTATTCAAATGTATAATTAAGGATGAAAATGTCAAAAATAAAAGGTATAGAATTTTTCACAATAATAGTGAAAGTTAGGGATATTAATATATTATGTCCTAATTACTATTTTCCTCATTTACTTGGGATTCGTTTTCTTTTTCATATATATATATTTTTTTTCCTTAAAAAAGGGTGATTGGATCTGAAGGCACTGGAGCACATGGATTACTGCTCCATAATTACTGCTTCTGTTAAGGCGCTTGATCCAATATATCATTGTGCCCACGACGTGGGCCTAGTTTTGTATTGATAGACACACATCATAAGGAACTTTAATTTTTCAATAATGGGACTGTGGGGGTGGGGCATTTGTCAAGCTCGTATATAACAGGTAGACAATCTCTCATATGCGTACGAAATACGCATGTTTAAAAAATTCAAAAAAAAGTGGACCCCTCCTTATGTACAAAAAGCCCATTATGATAGGATACTGATCATACTATCATATCTTGTAGGCCAATCCAAAATCGATTTCTAAATATTCCTCTCTCCACAATTTGTCAAATAATAATTATATTATTTTCAAGTTTTAAATCCCATAAGTTTTTTATTAGTATTTAAAATTATCTGATCAAGAAGAGCAAAATCAAGGTCGGTTTGCATGACAAAATTAATATTATGTTGTATTAATTTCGAAAGAAACATTATAGTTTAATAGATAAACTTCTATAAAATCTTTTAGCACCATTTCAAGTGTGAAACGTGTATTAAATTATGTCGTATCAACATACCTCGCTACATTATTTTCTACTATTTTTCTGCTTCTTTTGATTGTCTTAGTCGATGTTCGATAACACCATTGACCAACATACCCTGTACTTTGGCTCAATCACTAATCAAGTTAGCTCTAATAACCAATGTTTAGAGAACTGGATCAGTTCGATCGATTCAACTAAAAAAAATCAAGAAGCAACCAGGAAAATCAGTTCAATTGGCGATTAAAAGCATAAAGATGAAAAATCGATGAAACCATGATGCCCAAAGAAAAACGACAATTTTTAACAGCCAATAGCGAACTTCTCTTGTGACCCTAACCCACTCTTCTCTTTTTATATACGTTCGACAAGTCTTAAATCTTGATTTGGGTGTTTCTTTCCATCTTTTCTTGGGCAAAACGCGAAGATGAAGAATAATTTGGGTAAAAATTAAAGATACAAAGAAGCCTACGACGATGAAGTGCAATCTGGGCAAGATTGGAATGGTTCTTGATTTTAATTTGTTATACTTTCAATTTCAAAGACAGAGATGGAAAGGTGAAAAATGTGTTTTCTTTTTATCAAATTTATGAAAGTGAAATAATAAAATATTTATTATTTATTAATTGATCAAATTTTATTTTAAATTAATGAAATTTAATCTATATTCATAAATAATACTTCATTGAATCTTTCGGTTCTTATCCCTTTAACTTTTTCGGGTAATGTTTGGTCCAGTTTTCAGAATATTGCTAATAACTATGACCACAATTAACTTGACAAAATGTTCTACAAAATAAGTGCTGTCAAAGGTGAAAGTTACAGCTCAAATTCTGCTATTTGTGTAAGGAAAATTACATAAATCTAGGTATTTAAAATTACTTTTTAAAAATCAGATCTAAAGATTATTTATTCAAAAATCGGGTATTATATTAAAATCTAATTGATAACTCTAATTTATTACTCTACTCTACTCTACTCTCTCTCTCTCTCTCTCTCGCCTCGCCTCGCCTCGCCTCCCCTCCGTGAATGGCATGACGTTGAGGACGTCGCGCCGCGTCGTTGTCACCATGGAAGCATATCAGAGCCTCTTCGCGTGCAGACGCAGCGGCTGCGCTTTACGACAATCTGCACCAAAGCCTCTGTGCGCGATCTGCAACTGCAACAACGATCTGCAATGGATCTTTGTTGGAGTGGTGAATATATGGGTGTGTGTGCAGTGGCGTCGTAACGAGTGAGGGTGTGGTGGTGGTGACGGGTTTGAAATTTTTTGTTGGATGATGGTTGTGGTTAGGCTTGTCAAGATGGGCGCGCCTGGGCCACTCGGACGTGAACCGACCCGCGATTCGGCCCACGAACCTGTGGACCGAATAGTGGGCTGCCCGCACCTTGAACCGGTCCCGGGCTGTTCAAGTGTATCGGCCCAGCGTTTAACCGTTGGCCCGGTTTGAAAAATTATTTAAAAATTATAATAATACATGTTAAATTATCGATTTTCACTATAATTATTTTTACCGTTTATTTTTAAAAAAATAAAGTGCTAGCGGGCCGACGGGCCTACGGTCGGGGCAGCGGTCAGGGCCGGTCAGCCGTTCCCTCACCCCGTATTTGTCTATTTGTACCCTGGGCCGTTACCGGGCTTTTCCACCTTGAACCGGCTTGGCCCGCCCATTTTTACACCTCTAGTTGTGGTGCGACGTGGTTTGTTAATGGCGGTAGTGGTAGTGCAATAGTGGTGGAGGCTGGAGATTCGATAGTGGTGGTGGTTGTGGTTTTTGTTGACAGTTGACTGGATCTGGCAGCGACGATTTGGTGGTGAGTCGTCGTGGTGAAGACAGTGACGAGGATGGTGGTAGATCTAGCCGCGACGAAGACAGGTGGATGCGGTGGCGGTAGTGTTGGTGACGGTGGTGTGCGACCACTATTTGGTGTATGTGACCAATTATTTGGTTATATGTGACTTACTATTTGATGGTATGTGACCAAAAATTTAGCAATCTGTAATTAGTTACTCAATTGTGACCTAAAAATTTAGTAAAATGTGACTCAAAATAATCTATGATCAACCAATTTAAAAATCTGTTATCGACAAATAAATTGTGACTAATTAATTTCATAATATGTGACCAATAAATAAATTGTGACCTATAATTTTGTATCAGTAACCATTAATTGTATAACTGTGACTTTATTATATTTAATTAATAATATATAAGATTGAATTTTGAATTTTCAAACTATAAACCTGATTTGTGAATTGCTGTAAACTATACACCTGATTTATGATTATTTTTTTTTTTTCCTTTGTGTAAATTATCCACATGCAGCCCAAAACGTGCCACAACAAAATGGGCTTTTCTTACAACCCATTGTTGTTTACCTTGCGACATTGGCACCCTAACGGCCCTTGTGAATCTGTAGCACAAATCAAAATTACCTAAAAATAATTCAAAATTTTATTATTTTTACAAAAGTAAAAATCCAAATAAATGTAAGAAAACACAAACTCTTATTCGTAACCAAAATCTTTTGTATTTGAATATTGTAAAGAATTCATATCTATGTGTGTAAAGTTGTTATTTATTATAACAATTCGCTAAAAATTGTTTAAGAAAGTTTTACGCTGCGATTTCATAAACGTGTTTGATTTTTAATTTCTCACATTTTACAGTGGAAGATTTAATTAATAAAAGACCTTTTTAAAAATGACTCGAATTTGAATATGAGAACTTGGACTTGTTTCTAAGTGCAAAATGTTATCAGCTTTACATAAATAAAATAATTTTTAAAAATATAGATTTATTATTATTATTTATTTATTGTGTTGTATTCCATGTCAAGTATAATGATCAATTCCATTACATTTCTCTTATTTAGTGCTTGTTTGGGAAAACTTAAAAAATTAAGTCATAGCCAATAATTAATTTTAAACACGTATTTTTTTAAACTCCCTATTTTTGGCAACTTTTCAATTATATATTTTATCAAATTTTATTAAAAAAACACAAAAAAGACATGCATTTATTTAATTAATTATTTTAAGCATCAATTCAATTACCTTTTCATTCAATATCTCAGCTATTTTTATGAAACATCTTCTATATAAAAAGAGGTATATAAATAACACAATTGTTCTCATTTCAGATAGAGTTTTTAAAGTGATAAAAAAAAAAAATCTTTTTAATAATGCGTTGATCAAAAAAATAAGAAATAATTATAAATTTCATAGAATGTGCGATTGAAATGATTTTGGGAAAAAAGTGGTTTAAAAAAAATTAAAACAAATAGGTAGCAATGAGCTCGAGTTGGCTCGTGGGAGCTCAACCTTGAGTCAAGTCGAGCTCGAAATTTGGCAAGTTGAACCGGGTCAAGCTCGACAAGTAAAGCTCGTGAACTTGCACTAATTTTCTTATTTTTTATTTAATTATGTTAAGTTTCTTTTTTTAATTATTCTATCTATAAATTTTGTCTAGAATTCTTCATGAGTTTTGCTACAAGTACATAGCAATTTCACGGGAGTGGGGGGTGGGGTGTGTGCATTTTTTTTTCATATTTTATACATGCATGGGGCCCACACTTGTGAGGGAGTTGTAAACCACCTATGAAACTATCCATGTACTTAGAGATTTATCCATCCGTCATAGTACTCCATGGCCATAGTGGAGCATGTCCTCTTGGTTAAGAAGCCGAGCCTACGTGGTCGATCCATGGGTCGATTCAACTCAGTCATTGCCATACCTAATCTAATTCTGAAATAACTTTAAAGGTGTGTTTGTTGGATATTATTGAGGAAATAGTGTATTTTAAATAATGATATAATGGAAAATATATGGTTAAAAAGTAAGGAAAAATTATTGATATGATGAAAAATATTATTTTATTAAAGTATATATAGTTGAAAATAAGTTTTTGAAAGAATATATTTTAAAAGAATGTATAACAATTAACAAACAAGGGTTAAAAAATAAAAATATTGGAGCCCTTTTATTTATTTTTCAAAAAGGTATAAAATCATGAAAATTGCAAATCCTCTCTGTCTCGGAAGCTCTAGAATGTGTACGTCAGCACCTTTATATTGTTCCTTCCATCCATTCTCTTCAGCATTCCAGTACGTCCTAGAGTTCTCTTAATCTCTCTCCGTTCCTCCAAAAATAGTAAGTTTTCACTTATTTTCTTCAAAATCTCATATTCTCAGTGAGGATTTCTGTAATCTGCTTTCTTGATTGCAAGGTTTATTATCATTTGCTATAATCACATAATACTTAATACCTCATTGTAAGTGATTTTTCTGGGTTCTTTTTACTAACTTTTTGGCTTTCAAGAATGGATAGTAAGACATGCTGATACGAATTGTTTGACGATTTCTTCCACGTTTTAGTACTTAGTTTAAAGGGTTTGCTAAAATTATTTAGTTATCTGAATGTGAATTTTACAAGTTTCTTTGTCACTTTGGTTCCACATTTATTTTTTTCATCTTATGCAGATAATGAGCTCTCTTGATTGCAAGATTTCCCCGGGTTTTATCAATATAACTTCCCATTTGCTATAATCACTTGTACTTAATACCTCACTATAAGTAAATTTTCTGGGTTAATTTTCTACTGTTTTTGCTTTTGAGAATTGATCGTAGGTATACTGGTACGAACTGTTTGATGATTTTCTTCCGCTTTAAATTTTTAATTTCAACGTGCTTGTTCATTATATCTGAGTTACTTCCTGTGGGAGTATGAAGAGCTATTAAATTAATTAGTTAATTGAATGTAGATATTACATATTTCCTGATGCTTGAATGGTTATATATTTACATATTTCTTGATGCTTGAATGGGCTTTTTTTTTTGGTTTATGGGGTCACAGAACCATTTCTTTATAGGATCTAATTTTGGTATTGTATTTCCCTCCTCAAAAGTATAATTGAGTTATTTCAAAGTTCGAGCATGTTGGCCGTGCTTAAAAGCACCTAGGTGCTTATTATGAAAATATACGTCCGAGTACTGTTAGAAAAAACTGAAAAGCAGGCCTTTAAGCAAGTTCAGAGGTGCTATTATTCTTTCATTTGTATCTAACAAATGTAAATGTATGGAAATTGTGTAGTTGTCAGAAGGCTTGTCGGAAAACTAAACTCTGAATGTAATGTTAATTTCACCTCTTTAATTTTCTTTTTTGAGGAAAATTAAGGTAATTGTTAAGGTAACAACGGATGAAATATTTACATAAATAAATGAATGGATGGCTGAGAATCAAAAACAGTTTTCCGAGTTTGTTTGAAGTGTTGTTTTCTTTGAAAACCATGTTCTCTAAAGGAAAATAATAATAATAATAATAATAATGGGGTCAATAGCATATTTATGTACACGGCAGAGCCAATAGATGATCGGGAAATGTATTAATGTTGTTGTCTCAAAATTAACCCCTGCTGATGTTTGGCAGTGAGGTTTTGTGACATTTTGTGAGATGTTTTCTGAGTAGGGTGGCAATGTGTGTATTTGTCACTTTCAATTTTTGTCTCTTTTTTATTTCGTTCTCCTAAGCCGTAGACAGCTTTTGAACTTTAAACTCTTAACTTGGGCAGTTTAAGCATTGACTATGTTGTTAATGTTAAAAATTTAACTATTTTCTGCTTGATTTGTGTAAAGTGTGGATTAATGATAGCAGATATAATTGAACTTAACAGTTGTGTTAATTGTATCTTCTTGTAAAAATATGTGAATTGCAGTGTTTGAAAAGAATAAGTCAATTTTCAGGAATGGCAGAACAAGCATACACTGTGGCATCTGATGGTGAAAATACGGGAGAGGAAAAATCTTCGTCTCCTTTCTCAGAAATTGCAATTGGAATTGACATTGGCACCTCTCAATGTAGTGTGGCAGTTTGGAGTGGCTCTAAGGTGGAGCTCCTCAGAAATACCCGACACCAGAAGTTGATGAAGTCATATGTTACCTTTAAAGATGAGGTTCCTGCAGGTGGTGTAAGCAATCAACTGGCTCATGAGTACGAGATGTTATCTGGTGCTGCCATTTTCAACATGAAACGTCTAATCGGTAGAGTTGACACGGACCCTGTTGTTCATTCAAGCAAAAGCCTCCCATTCCTGGTGCAGACCTTAGATATTGGTGTCAGGCCGTTCATTGCGGCATTAGTGAAGAACATGTGGAGGTCGACTACTCCAGAAGAAGTTCTTGCAATATTTCTTGTCGAATTAAAAGTCTTGGCAGAAATGCAGCTCAAGCGTCCAATACGAAATGTTGTCTTGACCGTTCCTGTATCATTTAGCCGATTCCAATTGACCCGTATTGAAAGAGTTTGTGCCATGGCTGGACTTCATGTTCTAAGATTGATGCCTGAACCGACTGCTGTTGCCTTGTTATATGCGCAGCAGCAGCAGCAGAATGTGCACGAGAGTATGGGCAGTGGAAGTGAAAAGATTGCACTTATATTCAATATGGGTGCGGGTTTCTGTGACGTAGCTGTCACTGCAACAGCTGGAGGAGTATCACAGATACGGAGTTTGGCTGGAAGTACCTTGGGAGGGGAAGACTTACTGCAGAACATGATGCGTCACCTCTTACCGGATATGGATAGTTACTTCTCGAGACACGGGATTGAAGAAATACGGGAAATGGGGTTGCTTCGAGTTGCAACCCAGGATGCAATCCACACACTCTCGACCCAACCTAGTGTGCAAATTGATGTTGACTTGGGAAATGGAAGAAAAATATACAAGGTCCTTGACAGGAAGGAATTTGAGAAAGTCAATCGGAATGTGTTTGAAAAATGTGCAAGCCTTGTCAACCAATCCTTACACGATGCAAAGATAGAAGTAGATGACGTAAATGATGTAATTCTTGTTGGTGGTTGCTCAAATATCCCAATTATACGGAATATGGTTATGGATATATGTAAGAAAGATCTTTACTCGGGAATGAATCCGATGGAGGCTGCAGTGCGTGGGGCAGCACTGGAAGGTGCAGTGGCTTCTGGAGTGAATGATCCTTTTGGGAGTTTGGACCTGCTAACAATTCAAACAACTCCACTGAGCATCGGAATTCGAGCAGATGGAAACAGCCTCGTACCCATTATACCGAAAAATACCACAATGCCAACAAGAAAAGACGTGATTTTCACTACAGTACATGATAACCAAGCTGAGGCACTAATAATCATCTACGAGGGCAATGAGAAAGCAGTTGAAAACAATCATCTTTTAGGGTATTTTAAGATCATAGGGATACCTCCAGCTCCAAAAGGTATACCAGAGATTAATGTGTGCATGGATATTGATGCTTCAAGTGCTCTGAGAGTTTTTGCTGGGGTCATTATGCCCGGGGAGCAGAATCCTTCGACTCCCTTTATGGAAGTAAGGATGCCAACAGTTGATGATGGGCATGGTTGGTGTGCTGAGGCTCTAAACAGAACTTATGGTTCGACTTTAGATTTGGTGACAGTGCAAAAGAAAGTACAGCACTGAGATTTACGAAGTTTATGGTCTGTCTTGTGATAACATTTATGAAAGTTTGTGGAGACAAGCATTTATGTTTTAAAAGCTACTAATTTACGCAAATCATGTGTAAGGTTCAGTTCTAGTGTTGTCTACTTGTTGATAGAATAATCTAGTGCTTGGCTTTCTTCGGGTTTAATGTACTTTTTTAAGGTAGATGCTGAATAAAAAGGTTTGTCCCTTTTCCTCTTCCATTAGGATTGGTATTAAAACTTTATTTTAGCAGTGTCTCACGTGCTATTGTCCGAGGTTATGTGACCTTGCGCCTCTAAATTGTGTTCGTGTATTTAGTTTTCTTGT